ATATATACCAATATTATCAATAAAATTACCTAATAAAATTAATTATTAACTGTTGCTAATAATCCATTTTATATCAATGTTGCGAGGAAGGTCCAGTTAGGCATTCGGCAGTTTCTGGAGCGTCTTCTCGAAGCGTGATCTGGTCCAATTAGGCATTGGGCTCGTTTTTTAGTTTGTTTTGTTAGAGTGTGGTTTTCTGTTTTAGTTGTTTGTTTAGAAGTTGTGTTTTTTGTTTATGTCGTTGACCTCTGTGTGCGGTCTCTAAACGATTTTCGGATCTGACTCTCAGTTTTTAGCTCTCAGTTATATCATTCAACTTTGAGCTGCTTTCTGTTTGCACATTTGTGCGTTTTATATATTATTTCAATCGTTTCGAAAAAAAAAAAATGGCTAATAAATCAATTAAAATTATTTATCAACTATCCGCTAATTACACTTGAGGAATAACGATACATTTTGTACAAACATTTTATATGTCCATATATTGAGAAGTTCAATGTGTTACTAATCGCAGTCTGCACCTAAATTATCACAAATTTAAGTCTAAATGATCAAATTCCTATAGACTATTAACTTAATTATGCGATGTACGAGTTTATTGTATAAACCTAAAACATTATGTTTGTTTATGTATTCCTTTTTCTTTCATTTAATGTAACTCCAAGTCAATTTTAATCACTTTCAAGTTAATATACTAGTATCCATTTTAAAAAGGCACGACTTCATACATCCATTATTCAATAAATAAACATAAATTTGGTACCTATCAGGAATGCTGATCAATTTTTACCAATACAGTTTGTTGAAGATTTGAGGTTGAATAGAACTTCAAGCAGAAAATGATGTTAAAAATAAACAAATTGAATGGGCAATAATTAATCGAGTTCCAACACGCTTAACACTAAATTTTAATAACAACACTTGGTTATTAATTCATGTCCTCACCTAATTCCAAATTACAACTTAAACATCAGTTTCTTTCTTTAATGAAAAAAGNAAAAAAAAAAAAAAAAAAAAAACGTAAAATCAATTAATGTGGTGATCAGTTCATAAATCACAAGAAAGATTGAAATTTGAAGTGTTGCTACATCTACGTGCATGATGTTTATGATTTACAGGGCCATTAACGGGAATATTATCTATAATTATTAATTACTTTATTTAGTTGATTTTATTGTCTATAGAGTATTATATTATTTCAGTTGATAAGTACGCTTACATAATTTATAGTCGACAAAGTTTTCATTATTTTTAATTGTATATTTAACAAATTATGGTTAGCTAATTTTTTGTCTTTAAAAACATATATTACAAAAATATTAATTTTATCTTATGTTATTTTATGACAGAGAATATAAACTTATACTTATTTTATAAGATATTATACAATTTTTTACCCCAACAAAAACAAAAATAACTGGAGAAAAAAAAATGGGGACAAAATTTAAATGATCGTATTCTGAGAATACGTTTTACATTGTAACGTATTCTCGGGATACGTTTTAATGTCAATTAAATTAATCACCTAATTAAGTTAATTTAATCAACTTAAAACGTATTTTGAAAATATGCTTTATAAATAAAATTAATTTTATAATTTACTTATTGTAGAAAATATATTTAAAATAATTATTATATTTTATTTAACTTCGACTTTTCTTCGGAAGTAAATTTTTTTTATATTTTACAAATATAATTTTAAAACGTATTATGAGAATATATTTAAAAAAAAAAATTAAAAAAACATATTATGAAATTATAGGCTTTTGATTTTTGTCCATAATTGTTTTTTTTATTTTTGTCCACTTGATATTTTTGTTTTTTATATATATAATCACCCGATATTGATTTTTATACGCTTATTCTTACTTTTTAATTCAATGTTTTCTTAAATTTTACTTCTAATTTACAACTATAATGATAATAAATTTATATATACATACATACATATATACAATAATAATGATTGAATTTTGTTAAAAGACAAAATAAGAAAGTAATAGAAATATTATAACTACAAAGATGTTTAACTCTAACAAATAAAATAAAAATAAACCGAATAAAAGAAAACAATATTATTTTTAATGTAGACAAAATTAAAAAAGAAAAACAATGAAATAAAACTTTCCTATGTTAATAAGAATTGATTTTAGTTATTATATCTATATAGATATAGCGATGTTGGGTTTATATTACATTTAGTTAATCAATTTGTGTTAATAATAATAATAATAATAATAATAATAATAATAATAATAATGATAATAATAATAATAGTCGGTAGTTCTATAAAGTAGGTTATTGAATAAAAAAATACAAAAAAATAAAAATAAAAAATGAGAGCATTTGCTGCATTATATAAGCGATGCGCGGCCCACAAGTATATGACTTTGTCCAAAAATGCAGATCCGACAAAAGGATGCACTATGACCGTACCGCTTAACTTCCTCTACTCCCTAGGGCCCACGCTCCCATCCCGCCACGTGGATTCTGTTTCATTAGGTAAGGCACAATTTTTTTGGTTTAATGAAATTCAATTTATTGAATTTTCAATTTTCTTCTAGTTTTGCTGGATTTAAATCGTTCACACATGATACCCCCGGTCCCCCACCATTAAACTATAGTATAATGTTTTCTTGTATCATATTTATTAGTTTTTCTTTTTTTTTAAAAACAAAAAAACATTGAGTAGTATTTTTCCAGACTAAGCTAATATATGCTTATCCTTTAATTGTGCTGGTATTCATAGATTAATTCTTTTCATTAAAAAATCACTCGATAGATTATTGTAAGGATTATAAATAATGTAAATTCTTATTACACTACAAAAGATATTCTCAAACATAACGGATTTGAAATTAGGTAATCTAGGAATTTAATATACATAATAATTTATCTAATCTTTAAATATTATCCGCATCCTCGAATTAGGTATCACAATTTACTTCATATTTTATTTTTTTTATAATATTAAATCCCTATATATATAATTCCCACGTATAGTTCTCGAAATTTCATGTTTCATTATTTGGTTTGAATATATTTTAATTTAATTCCAATCTAAAAATAATTAGGTGCCGATTACCATAAATATGTTGATTCATTTATGATCATTTTATATGTATTAATTGTATTTTAATATAATTTTCTATTATAACCATTGAATTGTGAATGTATTTCAAAAGTTGATAACTTTTGTATTTATTATCGATTATATATATATAATATATCTAATTAATCATCTTTCGATGAGTTTCGATTTGACATCCATATTGTATATATAAAATAAATAAATTATATTTATCTGTATAATAATAAGAAAATTATTTATTAAAATTAATTAGAAAAATAAAATTATTTCTCAATTAATATATTTATGTTTCATGTATAGTTATATGTTATAAGGTATAAAAATTATTATCGTATAAAAACATGTAAGTCGCACAAGTAACAAATGTCATACTAATATATAATAATATATTTTTACAAAAAGTAATTAAATTTTTAACCACATTTTCTCCTTAATTTTAAATTTAAGAAAAAAGTTTTAGCAAACACCCGTGTAATACACGGGTGTGGTACTAGTAACGTTATGAATTAGGTAAATTCTGAATAAAAATGTACACAATATTTCACCAAATCTCTCAAAGTTACATGCATTTCATAATATCATTAAAATATCCGTTGGAATTGCAGTTGAAATTCTATTGAAATATATTTCTGTTGGAATTTCATCATTTTCTTGTAGTGTATGAATATCAAGTATTAACTATAAAAAATTTTCTCTCAAAATTAGACAATGATACCAAATAGGTAATTTTTTAAGAAAAAATACAAAATAATTTAACAAATATCTACATATATTCGATAATTTTTTCCCAATTATTCATTTTATTGAATGTTTACCTTGTGTTCTCTAGTGGTCATTAATCAAATATATTTCGTAAGGAAATATATTTTGATTGTAATATTAGATTTATTGGATAATAAATACACAATATTTAGATCCTGTGAAACTATTCTTATTAAAAAATATTATGTTAGATTGATTATTCTCTAAGTTGTACTAAATTGATTAATTCCAATTATCGCTATAAGACAAGTTATGGTCATATTGCTTCAATCCAAAGAGATTTTTTATATGCGATCTCGCAGATTGACTTGCTAGCATGTGAACAATAATTACCGAATTAATTTACGGATATTGATTTTTCAAACTAATCAAAAAACGGTAACTATTTTGTATAATTAATCACATTTTTTGTTTCCTCAACAAGAAAATCCTGTCATATATTTTTAGAACTTAATAATATTATGCCACTTAGTATTAAAACAAATCACATGCTAATATATGGCGCCTTATTTGTCTTGGCATTGAAGTCTAGATCAATTTTTGACGACCTAAACCAGCTGGATTTTAATCCTTTTTAATTTTTAGATGCCAAAACTATTATAATAAAAAAATTTGTCCTTTACTTCAGGAGAAAGAAAATTCAAAATGAAATATAATATTTCATATTTTATAAGTATATAAAAAGTTTACAAATAAAAAAAAAAAATTTATAACATAAAAGACACGGAGTTGATATGTATGTTGGTGTTTCCAGATAAATCAGGACATCATGGGGGACTTTGGGATATGGATCCAGCAACATATATAATATAATAAAATAAATAATATACAAATTCAAGAAAAGGAAAACAAATAAAATAAAAACAACCTGGACCCGGGATCGCCGGGTTTCTTAGAGCGGGTTGCGGGCTAGACCCGATTTTATTGGCTATTCAATGAAAAAAAAATTCGTAAATAAACCCCCACCCGTTATGGATACTCCCCGTCTACACACATATTTATTTGCATGCCTCTTCTTAATTTTCGCCCTTTCATTTCTCCACCTCTTAAATATTCTAATCTCTTCAAAACTTCCGTCCACAAAGCCAAATTAAGCAAAAAAAGAACTGAAGGATATACAGTCAAACACAGCAATCGAGATTTACTAATGGCGGTTGAAGCTCGGCATCTCAATCTATTTCCTCCTCAAATTATCAGCAACAGGTAGTATTTTTTTCTCTTTATCTCTCTCCGATTTTGTTTGTCCTTTTTTTTTTCTAAATGTTATTTTTTTGGGCGCGTTTGACGCAGAGATATGGTGATGAACGGCGTCGAAGGTAACGGAAACGTGTTCGGTGCTCCGTCGGGCTACGGAGCGGTTGCTCCACTGTCGGGGACGGCGGCGGGATTGGAGACTGTCGTTCCGATCTACGGCTTGGCGGTGTCCGGCGGCGCTTTTACGGTGAAAACACAGGCGGTGAAATCCGACAGCGGTCTGACCAGTGTTCCGGTCTCGAGAAAGCGGCCGAGGGAGGCGATTGGCACACTGCTGTCGTCGTTCCCGGGCGGCGCCTTTCAGAACCAGAGCGTGATTAACCGTTGCAGTGGTTTTACCTTCCTCGGAGAGGATATCTCGTTTCAGATCCAACAGCAGCAATTGGAAATCGATCGGTTTATCGCACACCACGTACGTGAAAGAATCGCTCGATTAAATTTTTTGTCCCCTTTTTTGTTTCAGTTTTGGGTTTTGGCGCAGTTTATTGATTACGTGTTGGATGAATTTATCGATGCAGACTGCGAAGGTGAGGATGGAAGTCGAAGAGCGGCGGAAGAGGTATGCGCAGCGGATCGCGGCGGCGGCGGAGGAGACCGTTCTGAAGCGACTGAAAGCCAAGGAGGCGGAAATCGAGAAAATCGGAAAGCTCAATCACGCGCTCGAGGAGCGGGTCAAATCCCTGTGCGTCGAGAATCAGATATGGCGCGACCTGGCTCAGACGAACGAGGCGACGGCAAACGCCCTGAGGTCCGATCTGGAGCAGGTCATCGCACGGGCGCAGGACGACCGTCACCGCCGGCAGGACGATGCGGCGGACGACGCCAGCTCCTGCTGCGGCAGCAACCGCGACGATGAGGCAGTCCCGACTGCCCCCGCCGACGGCGGCGACGGGCGCGCAGCCGCAAGGAACAGGATGTGCCGGAGCTGCGGAAGGCAGGAATCGTGTGTGCTGCTGTTGCCGTGCAGGCACCTGTGCCTTTGTACCGTCTGCGGGTCCACGCTCCACACGTGCCCCGTCTGCTATGCTACCAAAACCGCCAGCGTTCACGTTAACCTCTCCTCTTGAGAAAAAAAGGAGTTGGTTGAGATTCTTANGTGTCAGTCGCCGTGTTGTGGTTGTGAGGTGTGGGGTGTGGGAGGGGTGAAAGGGAAACGTGAAGGGTGTAGGCTGACACGTAGGACTCGCGCAAATGTCGCTGTTGCGGTTGAAAAATAAAAGAAAAAGCGGTTTTGATACACCCCACTATTAAAGCATAGTCATGTACGAACTGTGTATAATTGCACTGATGCGCACGACAGAGAGGACTGAACCGCTGACATGACACGAGGATCAGTGCCTCAGTGCAGTTCCCGCCAAAAAAGCAATTTACCGCGGCGGGATTAAAAAAGTACGGTAAAATATCGTATCGAAAATTGGTAAAGGGTACGACATTATGTGTAGCCTAAATCAGCAAATTGTGCAGCATACATATTAGGCTATTAATGAATGAGTTCGTGCATTGGCCTTATCAAATTATGATTTTTTTATTTTTCTTTAAACATTTGTTAGAACTCCACAAACATAACATATGTTGTTCGAGGCTTAGAGCATCTCCAATGCATAAATGTTGTTATCACATAAATTTTGATAAATGTCAATTATTTAGATGGATTGTGAAACACATAAGATATTTGTTAAGTTCACAACTTTAAATCTAAAAAATTTTTTACAATGCACAATGTAATCAAACATAATATTGTCCACTTGGTAAAAATAAAAAAATTATAAATAAGAAACCAAAAAAATTAAATAATTTAGATATTTTGAAAATAGTAATAATATTTTTCTCATCTCTCAATTGGTTAATTGGAATGTGAAATAGAATGTGGATGAACAACATTCTTCTCTACATTATGGACATTAATTATGTCCACCTCATCACTACATTTGTGATTACATTGTGCATTATTGGATTAAAAGTGGAGATATTGCTAAATTGTTAATATAAAATATAATTTACTACAACTACATCTCACCATTGGAGATGCACTTAGCTCGATTCGACTACAAAAAAACAAACATTCGAAAACAAATTGAATTTAGTTTGAGTTCAGCTCAAAAAATTTATTTAACTATTGTAGTTAACTATTATATAATCTAATTCCAAAAGTGTGGTTTTTTATTTTTAAAAATAAGTTAATAATCAATGTTCAACGAGTCGGATAGGGCCTTAATGCCTAAGAACGCTCTGACGGGATTAAGCAAAGTCGTAAATATTGTTGACATCGGAGTTGGTAAGTATAGGTCCGAAACTAAGTCCCCCCAACAAAACAGATTAGCTATAAGTGTCGGTATTCGAGTTGGTAAGTATAGGTTCAGAACTTAGTCCCCCCAACAAAACGGATTAGCGAATAAATAATCCTCAAAAGCAAAGCTCCCAAATCGGCCTCACGGGGCTTGACACTCAAATCGACGCCACCCCTTAGCGGTAGGTGGTTTGAGCCTAGAGAATGGTGGACGATGGGATAACGAGCGAGTGAAAGTCCGATATAAAAGTTTGGAGGAGAGTTCAAGCTCAAGACAAGAAGAAAGAAGCTCAATTTCAAAGTCATGACGGAAGTCCGACCCCGAAGATGTCAGGAATCGGACTTCAGAGAAGCGCACTCAATGTCAAGGAACAATAAAATAATGTCATTTGCAATATAATGATGGCGTACAACTCTGCAGACGTACGACCCATAGACCCTTAGGGTGTCATATACTCATCAAAGGCCCGTCAATCAGTATTTAATGGCTCATAATCATCATTTAAAGTCAATCACGCATCATCTAATGCCTTTCATTTCGGTTTACTGTGCATCATGGCTCAGTAAACAGTAATCGAGGGTGTTTAGCAATAAATAGTCTTAGGTTTCATTTGTGGCGGACAACTAGACAAAAAGTTTAATATATGTAACAGAATAAGAAAAAAAATGCAAACAAGCGGAAAAACGCGACAATTATTCTAAATAAATTCAGGCAACACAGCATAAAAGTCCAACCTTGAATCTCACAGAGGCCGACCTCGTTCGAGCCTAAAATTATATACTCTTACCATAAAATCCCTTTTCATTTCATTATTATATTTTTCCAATTCATACTTGATTATTGATTAACCTTTGATACAAATCCACATATCTAACACATATTATATAAAAATATATTAATTAATATGATCACATATAAACATTGTACAAAATTCAACTCATTTATAACTATAGTATTAGTAAATATATTATTAGTTATGTTTTTTATTACATAATTAATATAATTTCATGCATAAAAGTTACTTTATAAGTTTTCTATAAATATATTAATAGTCATATTGAAAGAATATACTAGTGTCTAGGTGCCGTCAAGACTGTTTAAGCGTGTGTAACGTTGCAACTGTCTACACCATATAGGCATCGCCTAAAAACTATAATCATTTGAACGTATAGAATGACTGAATAAACAAAAATTGTGGCTCTTTCATTTGGCCTTGCGCCTAATCCAATTTTTAAAACGAAATTAATAACTCTAGTTAATGATTAGTAAATAATTTTATGACATATTGCTTTAAAAAAAAAAAAAGCTACACAAATTTTGCTATTATGCAGATACAGATTCGCATTAGCTTAACGCCTTAACCTGATTAAATCCAAAACTATGGTGTGCGATCTTGAACACTTTTTCAATAATTTGAATTATAATTCTGACTTAATTTAATCCAAGTAATGTGAAACGTGTCTTGGGCGTGCGGCGCGTGAGGTCACGTGGACTAGTGGGGTCTATCTAAACATTAATCCTAAAGTGGGTGTGCGTGAGATTCACGCACAACCGGTGGGGCCTCGAACCACTACCATTATCTCCGGTCACTGTCATGGAAGCACGTCGACAATAGTACCAGATGACTATTTATTTTATGGTGAGAATTACGAGGATTTTCATCTCTGATTTTTTTAATCTAATTTCTTTCTTTAATAATGTCCTTTTTTCCCCAGTACCAGTTAAGGAGGTAAAAGATTATTTAATAAAGAAAAGTAAAAGG